TATTATCTGCCCCTTTATCTTAAATTCTAAAACTAATAATCGATGTTGGGTACATAAATTTTCACTCGGAATAACTTTATAATCTTTGCAATCTAAACGATCTAATTTTCTTATAAGAAAATAGTCAATCTGAGTTGTACTATATCCATTTTTATAAGTGATGAAATGCTCATTCCTTTTCTTAAATAAGATATTAGCAATTGAAAAATTATAAGCTAAACAAAAATCTAATATGGTCTTGCCGCCTAAAGAATTCAACAAGCCAGTGTTCTAAAATAAACAACTTGAGGATTCAATGTATATCTAACAAGTCCTTTGCAATTTTTTATATTCTAACAAAAACTTTTAAGATTTCATTTTGGTTTTGCACTTAATTTCAAGTTTTTGTTATAGTTTTGTTCTTATTTTACATGTAGTTGTACACCAACATCAATTCCCAGTATTTTTGTTCACCTATTGCACTATTCCCATTCCACCTATGCAATTTTCTCTCCCCATCCATCCAACCAATTAAGAGCTCATACTATGTCCAAACCTAAATCATCTCACCTTGACAATTGATCCTACACACCCCCTAAAAATCAATCCCACCTCTCATAAAGAGCTTCGGCATTAATCCAACAATGGTGTAATACCCTCCCACATGCAAAGTGAAGCATACTCACTCTCTTCTTCAATCTCTACAATAAACTACAGCCTCCATATTTAAGCGAGGAAAAAGCACGTCTGCATCACAGAAAAAGGAAAACAGTGAGGAGCAAAATTAGAAAGGAATAAAACTGAATAAAAATAATAGGAAAGGCTTTATTTTGCAAGCTGCACATTCAAACTATTGACCAACAATAGTGTTCTGCCACATCTTCCAAGAACGAATTGAACTTACACATTGAAACAACAATTAGATTTGATCGTGACACATAAGGTGGAGTTTATGCAGTGCAGGGTGTATTTCTATCTTTTCTTTTTTCTTTTCTTTTTTTGTGCTTCTACAAATATCATATGAAATTGCTACAGTAGTTCTAACATGAATGAAGAGTATACCTTCAAGTGAATTCAAGAATTCTTTGATGGAACACACTCTTGCTCCTCAAACCTTGTAAAGAGCTAGGATTGCTCTTACTCGCCAGAGAAGGCTTCATCACAAAAAAAGAACTGGTGTCATTCGTTTTGTTTCATATATATTCTATGGTGATAATGAATCGATGCCATCCATTGTCTTTTGTCAAATTGATGATCATTAAGATAGATTTTTTTTTAGGTATTTCCATTATATAGTAATTAGATATTTTTCTATCATTTCTTATTTTCATGAGGGTTTGATGTAACAAATCAATTAGAGGGTAAATTTTGCTTTCAATTCTTATGTCATTTCAAAAAAAAACAATCACTAATTTATTGTAAAGAAATCTGGATATGATGAGTTGAAAGAAGATATCACAAAGCCTAAGTTTTTGTTTCCATGTATTTATTGTGCTAATTGAAGAAACAGCACAAACTGCTTTGAGAAAAGCTGCCCCTCTATAGCCACCCATTCAAAATTAAACACATTCGGGTTCCCGAAATCTACCTAACCTAACTTGATCAAATCAACTTAACCCAATTTGACCATAACCCAATTAAAAGAAAAATCATATCTTTTAATAAGTGCTATAAAATATGAGGTTCATTTATATCATTCTATCATTTTACATGAATGACCTTCAGACTTTCACATGTTACATTTTGAGGCTAATTGTTAATGCTCAAAAGCAGCTATGATGCAAGCCTTTTGTCAATGCTATTATACATGGACAATCGAGTAGTTATTCTCCTTCATATCTCAGTAGTTATTCTCCTTCGTTTCTCACTCAAGATGAATTTCTCAATTGTCTATTCTTTCTCAAGATGGGAATCTAGTTCTCTTCGCGTTGGGATGGATTTCCCATGGGATGAATCTTGCCCTAATGCATTACAATAAAGAATGGCTGATCGTTCAATCAATTTAGCCTACATATAACCAGTTTCACAAAAGTCAGCCATAAGGAATCAAATTAAGCTATAAAGAGCTGAACTGGACGAATTTCAAATTTTTTTTACCCATAATCAATTTAATCAGCATCTTGCTTTATTTTAAAATTTTCTCTTAGATTATATGTAAAAAAAATAAGGAAAAATCCACCCTTCTCTTAGGGATTAACTTTTTTTATAAATAAAACTTGTCTAAATTTTAAGATAGATTAATTGATTAATGAATGAATTATTAATGGGGCCAATTATGATTGTTCTACTATCATGATTTTAACCTTTTATTGATGTGGAACGATCATGCGAAAATTGGTTTGAAGTAAGATCTTGCACGCTTAACTTTAGGAGCAACAATAATTATACTCATTATAGTTATTTAAACGACAAAATAAACAATAAGAAGATAAAACAAGCTTAGGTTAAATCACATGAATAAAAGTTAAGTTCAAAAAGATAGCCAACTTAATCCGACATTGCCTACATGGATCGTTCCAGCAATAAATTACAAAACTAACAATAAGATTAGTCTATGAAAGGTCCCTCACACAACTCTTCTAATTACTAGGCTTTAGCGGAGAAGAATTAACGTGATATTTATCCTCTCTATTACTTCTTCCTCTCCAAATTACATCAATTTCCTACTAACTCCATCAACAAATTGTTATCAGAGCATTATCAATCTACATCACAATCACTAAACAATGCAACAAGTCTCCAATTTTTTATAAAATAAAACTTCAACACTCCAAAATAGAGTTCTTTACTGCCTAGGGGAATTGATGGCACAAAGGATGGCTGCATTTGCTTTAATGAAGTTTGGAATTTACATGTCACATTTTCCTTTTTGCTTTTTAAAATTACCCAAGTTAATTGTTAAACACAAATATATCAATTTTCATCTTGGCGTAGTTTGGTATTTCTATATAAGGGTAATTTTGTCCTTTTAAATAAACTCTGATATTATTAAAAATATATGTTGTCATGTATTTGATAAGGTAATGAATTAAGAGTTTATCATGATGTTTCTTTGAGATTTCAACCTTTCGTGAAAACTTGAGGATTCACATCTCCTTTGTACTTACGATTCGGCATCTTGCCATTAGAATTTAGCAATCCAATGTTTTGAGAAATCATCATCACAACTTGAGTATTTAATGTGTACCTCTTTGCTCCTTTTATTTACCTCTTATCTCTTAAATCCCATGTTTTCTATACTTGCTTCTTACCCTATGCCATCATGGATTATAAACAACTAGGTTCAATGTCACTTTGCAAAACGAAGTCTCCATGATGGAAATCCTAAGAAATTAAGACCCATAAGTACCACTTTTCATTTGAAAACCACTTCCTAAGATCTTGTTCATATATTCAACTATTCTTCCATTGTAGAACATATGATTTCTAATGAAATGACCTTCAATAATATTAGGAATTACTCAAACTATAGAATAATAAATGCTTTAATAAAGTTCATTCCCTTCATTTTTTTCCTTTTCTTGCAACAATTTATTCAACCAAAAATGAAATATTGTGCCTGCCAAGGAATAAGCCAACCCTCTAGAAAATAAAATGTACTTTTACTAACTTGAGGAGCTCTTTTAAATGGTCAGCATGCCGTGTACTTAATTTTATCAAAATTAGCTTAATCTATTATGAACGTCAATGGCATTGATAGATTTGTTTTATTGGAGGAATCCACCAATTATTTGGGTAAGCTTCTTAAAAGTAAAGTGATATCATTATTGAATGCAGTAAAAAAAATCAGGCACATTACGTTGCTAAGATAAGTCGTGAATGTGCTTGAAAAAAAGGGTGCTCAATTAGCTGGTTACTTGAAAAACTTCGTTATGCATGTTGGACGCATATACAAGACTTTCAGACCAAAGATCAGCAAAAAGAGCAAGAGAATCTGTTTCCTCGAATGAGGATCCTCCATGATTTCCTCTCTCTGTCATTCCATGATCACTGACAACAACCTGTCAGAAAGAAATAAGCAGAAATCTCTTTCAATACATGAACCAGAAAAAAAGACAAAAATAACTTGCAATATAAATAATTTTCAAGTAAAAACTATATACGGATAAAGACAATAGCTCTAATTCCTCATGAGAATTAATAGTGACAGACATCAACAGCATTAAAAATTTCATCCATAACGCTTACAGTTCAAAAGTCCCAAGAATTAGTTTGCTTTTGGACAGAGACAGGAAGTATAGAAGTCAATATACTCAAGTTAATGTGATCAATAACCTAGACACCTTCTCATTATATACCAAGCTCAACTCAATCTGAATTATTTGTATGTCATAATCAGTCAAGGTTGACCATTGCTACAAATAAATGTGAATAATATCTTCCTGTATGGCAGCCTAGATAAAATTGTTCATATAGAGCAACCACCACAATATATTGCTCAGGTGAAGACCAAAGGTTGTAAAACTTAGCAAGGCCATCTATGGGCTTGAGCAAAGCCTTCAGGTTTGATTCTATAAGTTTTGCAAAAAAAAATTTCAAGTCTGCCTTCACAAATGCACAATAGATCACTCAACCTTTTTTAACACAATTTGTCAAGCTCTGCTATCTTAAAAGCCTATTAAACCGATATTCTATCTTGTTCACCCTCAGGATAGGTGAAATATTGCACTACGGCAAGAACTCCGCTCTCGCAAGCTATTAGGTCCCATTTTTTTCGAGGTAGTTTGGATTTTTAATTTAACGAGATTTCCCCCAATGATCGGCATCAGAGTTTATTTGGTTATGAGGTTCCACTTCCTATGAGCACAAGCCCTCATAATTAATTACTCCTTCTAATGCGTGGAAGACCACTCTCAATTAATGATGAATAATATTTAGTTGTGCAAGAAGTGTATAAGTATTTTTAGTCTTAGTTATTGGGGATGAAGGTACACCCGATCAAGATCCCATGATTCCGTTGTCCTGGGTATACCGCAGGTTTCAGTCTACCAACACTAACAACCATTAATTGTAGTGTCCACAGAATTTGATTAGCAGTCATGGATTGCCTCCTCTCAAGGAACCTGAGTAAACTGAAGTGGATAGGTGAGGGTTATAGTTTGGATTGAGCATTGCGTCTCCACTTAGGAGTTGCCCGTAGTTTAGATTTAGGTTAGGTCTTATGACCCCGTTTATGAGATGCATGTAGTTTAGCTTTAGGCTATGTCTCATGGGCCCCATTTTAGAGTTGTTTATAATTTGGATTTGAGTCGGAACTTACAGCTTTCATTGAAAGTAGCCCATGTAACGGGTCTTACGGGTTCATTTGGAAGTAGCTCGTGTAACGGGTCTTATGGCCTCTATTAGAGGTTGCCCAAAAGTGGGTTAAAAGCGGGTCTTACTGCTTCACTTGGAAGTAGCCTAAAGGTTTTAGGTACGAATGGGTCTTATAACTTCTATTATAAGTAGCCCATGTAACGGATCTTACGGCCTCTATTAAAAGTGGCTAGGAGGTTATTTGTTGGTAGATTAGTACTGTAGGTACACTGGTTTGTAGTTGTCTACTAGTTTGACACTATACTTTAGCTTTCAATCATTTACTAGTCTGCTTCGTCACTGGTTTGATACTTACTAGCCTGCAGTCATTGTTGTTTTGACTTTTACTAACCAACAGTTGTACTCTAACTTTCAGTAGTGTACTTATTATTTTGTGCTCGTAGTTTTCTTTTATCCTAGTAGCTTGTCTTTCTACTTTAGCAACGTTGCTTGTTCAGCATATACTTTTCTCTACTAGCACTAGTTTATGTTACTATATTGTGCTAATATTATACTTGTTTACTTGCATGTACCATGTACCTGCAGCAGTTGTAGGAACTAGAGAGCTTGTAGTTGCAAAGGGGTTTAGAGAGCTCACAGGTAGCTAGAGCTGAGGCTACAACTAAGTCTGAGAGTTGGGGGTTCGAGAGTTTTGCTTGTTTAGAGAGATGTTTGGTTTGAGAGTTAGTAGCTTATACTTAGGTTGGATATTATGAACATTGTTATGTTATTATTTAAAGCATTTTATTTCAATTTGAATTAATTGCATTAATAAGTTAATTAAGAAAATTTTAATTAAACTTTAAATTTAATTGCTCCGCTCACTAACATATTTTAAATGTATTTTAAAATTATTTAATTATTTAAATTAAATTGGTTACTCAATTTTAAAGAATTAATTAGTTCATTAAAAGATATAGTTTTAAATTAATCAATTTAATTAATTAAAGTTTTAATTTTAATTAAAGCTTTGATTTTATTAATTTTCAAATTAATTATTTAATTAGACATTAAATTAATTAATTATCCAATTAATATAACCAGACACAATGGCGAAAAAGGATTCATGTAGCCAACCCCACGTAGTGGGAAAAAGGCTTGATGATGTTGTTGTTGTTGTTCCTATAGCATCATTTGGTTATCTCACCCCGTTAGGAATTTGTTCTCTTAGACTATGTCTTCTTTTTCTCTTGTATACAATATCAATTACACTCTTTCTCATTCAATAGTAACATTTTCTCTCTTTCAAAACTCCTTTCTACTTCATTTCCTTTATATTTCCTCTTCTTTACTGTTTTCTGCAACCACTAAGACCTCCCCTTATAAAATTCAGCAAACAAGTCACTTTTTTCTGGATTTCAGCTTTACAACAGGAACTTTTATTAATTTCAGCAACATTACAGCAGCTCTTACTCTTATTTCTACTGCTCAGCTCAAAACAATAAATAACAGCAATTATCTTGCCGTTTTAAGCAAACAACTGCACTTTTAATAGCAGAAAACACTGATTTTAGTCCTTAAATTCATCAACTTAGATGAATTTCTAGAATTTCAGCTAATAAAATCAATAACCATTATTTCCTCACCTTTATGTTCTGACTACAGCACTCCACAACAGCAGCCTTCATGATTTTTGAAGTCAGCCACAACAACTAGCAGCACCAGCAATCCTCACAGATTTTCCCTCAGCTTTAACTCGCAGAGAACCAGTGACGAGTGTGAAGGAATGAGGGAAATGCTTTAGTGTTTAAGCTATTTTGATATAATATTGCTATATTATATCAAATTCCTATTAGTAGCCGTGTGATCCCACTCTCAATCATCAGTCCATTGCATGTTGGTTTTAGTAGAATTGCTGCAGTGTTTACAGAAATTAACAATAGAATTAATTACTCTGTTAACAAATAACATTTAATTAAATGATATCAAAATGTTAATTAACTACTATTAAGCTATTAAATGAATACTTATACACAATTATATATCAAATGTTCAGAATTTCAAATAGAATTTAATGAAATTAGATTTGGCATTTTTCATATGTGGGAGAAAATAGGGTAAAATTTTTGGGGTAAATTGTGTGCTTAGTTTTTGACCAACTTTTGAGTGTTATACATTATATGCATAATTTCCTCATAATTCTCTCATCTTACTTACGAATTCAAACAAATAGAGAGATCAGATCGGAGCAGAAAGACGGAGCCACGCGTGAAATCTAAGGCGTACGTGGGTTCTTTCGCGCGAAGGGAGGAGGTCGGACGGACTGGGGTGCTTCACACGCAGGAGATGGGCGATAGGCGGATTTGCCTGTGCTAGGTGGAGTGGTCAGATGGTCGGATGCCTTGGTAGCAGGAGAGGGAGGTCAGAAGAAGGTGTAGAGCTGGTAGGATGTAGGAGCCTGGCGGCTGTTGTCGTTCAGATC